ATCTGGACTAGTTAGAGGGCCAACAGATAATGCAGACAAATCTAAGACAAGTGGATGAGGCTAAATTAACACAGTAAGAATGTATCTGTTAAGTTTTTAATTTATTTTTCTGTAAAGCAAGACAAATATGTAAACTTGATTGATTACAGATACTCTGAGCCTAATAAATGGATATATGAAATTAGGACAGCAATGTCAAAAATGTTATATCTAATAATTGTCATATATGACTCTCTTATTCTGTCTTTTTCTGTCTCTCCATATACACACGTAAGCACATATACATACATATATATGCATGTGTCTATATACATACATATAGCAAATGTTTTCTTTAACGTGTCTGATATATAACCATATATTAATATATATATTATGTCTGATCTCCTTGATATCTATCCGACGTCTATGACACCTGGTTTGCCTAAGCCAGTATTAGTCCAAGCTCATTTTTTTGGTAGATCATGTCCCAAAATGTATGTGATTTTTTAAAAATTGAAATACTTTTAAAATCTATCCACTAAAATGACAGACCCAGTTTTCTGTGTGTGTGTGTGTGTGTGTGTGTGTGTGTGTGTGTGTGTGTGTGTGTATTTAAGATAGATTTTTTTTTTTGGCATCCCCCTTTCATTTTCATTCGTGTCGCTGTTTCGATGACATAAGATGGTGGAGATACTCGAAACACACAGGATTGCTAGTCTGAACAAGACAGGTAGACAGAAAATGGAGAGAGGACAGGAATGAATATTTCATTAGAAAAAGCAATAGAAGGACTGACTAGAAGGAGGGGATGATCAGAGGAGAGTACCAAGTGCTCAAGCTGAAATAGCTGGAAAATGGTGGCAGAACTCTGGAAGTTTGGAAAGCTGGAACTTTTGAAAAGACAAAGGAAAGTTACATAAAGTTCTTTTGGCTTCAGAGCCCCATGATAGTTCTACATGACAATATTCTCAACTTGTTTCTACTAAACACATTTGAACTGTGTAAGTTTCCACAGACCTGTGTTTAGGTCTATTGTCATTTCTCTTTTAAAGGTTAATTATAGTTTTGTGACTGTATGTGTACTGAAGCACTTAGCTGAATAAGTAGAGATCGTATGAGTGTCTGAAATATCAACTTCTGCGAAGAAGAACTTACAAAGAGTTGTTTTGCAGGTTAGAAACTAAGGCCTGGGAAGTTAGGGGTATTGCTCTGAATCCCACAGGTAATGATAATGAGTAATATTTCTATAGCATGGAATAGGTATCAGGCACCATGCTAAGTGAGCCATGTATATTGACTGATTTTACCTCACAACAAAACCTATAAGGTGAGTACTATATTATTACCATCCTCATTTTACAGTGGGAAAATAAGGTTCAGAGAGGTTAAGAAGTAACTCAAGGCTGCGCAGCTAATAAGTGGAAGTACTGGGATTTGAGCCCAACTCTTCAGGCTCAGAGTCTTTTATCTACTATACTGTAGTGCTAGTCACAAGGGAAAAGTCAAGAAAGACTAATTGTGGTAGTTTTTCATTCTGAAGATTGTGTACAGAACTACACATGTTTAGAGGGATTGTTTTAGAATGATTTCTCTCACACATGTAGTGAGAACAAACATTTACTTTACCTACATGGATATACTCATTAATTCAGCCAATCCAAACTCAAATACTCTGCTCTCACTTGTACATATGGATGTGCTTACAAAAGATTTTATAAAAATCTCTTTAAGGAAGGGCAAGCCTCAATCTTTGAGATACCTATATAGCCTACTAATAAGGAAATCTGGAAATAAACAGAAAATTAAACCTAGATAGCACTTGGTAAGCATTCAAATATCTTCAGTCAAGAGGGCTCACTGGAAAAAAATTCTCAAGCTTATATGCAATATCATGGTAGTTAAGAATAAACAGTGAACAAAACTTCTAAAAGGTTTCTTTCCTATTATCGTGAAGAGAAACATTAAAATTATATTTACAAATATTCTCCTTCGTAACAATAGCATAATCTAGCTATATTTTTGGAATATTCAAATACTCTAAGGATTGTTATTTAACGGAAAGAATTTTAAATGAATGCTATCCTATTTTTATTGTGGGGCATGTTATTATTCCTATGCACTGAATCAAAATTAAAACGATTTTTATCTTTTCAAAAGAAACTAATGCAGAGAAGCTTATACATTTGCTAAAACCTTGAATCACAAGGTTTTACATAAACATAGAACCATATTTTCTTAAATTATAGTAAAATATATTAATATAATTGCAAGCACTGACAGATGTAATTATTTTTGAGCTGGAATATCAACAGTGTCTTCATAGACCTCAGCAAAAGCCTTTGGTGGAGTAGAAAAGGGATAGTCTGGGTATAGGAAAAGTAGGGGCACAATTGCCTTCTGACATTATGCTACTTGGATGAGGTCGAGTAGGGCTCATCTAGGTCTTAGTGAAGAGGGATGGCTGCATTTCCACCTTCTGCATCTTGGATGGGGTGGACGAGGAATCGAGTAGATCTTAAAAAGAGTGAAGGCACAGCTTCATTGTCCCCCTTTCCATGTTAGCCACTCTTCGTATCAAACTTCCTATAGTAGCTATTGCAACATTATTTCATGCTTTAACTTAGGAATGTTACAAAACAAAAGAGTGAGAAATGAATACTCCTAGAAAAAGAAGAAAAGGGGTCAAATTGGCTAGAGAAATTTAGGTTTTGAGGCAAATATATACAATAAAAAAATAATTCTCTAGACAAAGAAAGGAGGTTTTCCCTAATTTTAAATGCACTTACTATGAAAGAATTAAATGTCTATTGTTTTCAATAAAAATCCTCTTAATCTTGTTTTCTTTTAGATTCATGTTGTGAATTTTTACTGTTTCCTTAGTTAATAATTTACTGTTATAACTATTAGTTTGTTTTTTATACTTTTCATTGTGCAACTACATAAAAATGTAGGACATTTATCAGACAGTATTTAAAACTCATTTACTTTCTCACACATATTTTGTCTCCTCCTTTCTATTTTGGCAGTGTGCATGCCAAAAATCATGATTTTTATACTTGATAAAACTTTAAGGCAAAACTTCCTTCTTACTCCATTCATTATAATAAAAAATGAATATAGATCTCTATCTGAATTAGTGAAGCAATCCAAACAAAAAATATTGAAACATATTGAAAACTGATTTCATGCATTTATTAGTAGATATATTGTATCACATGTCTCTTTAAACTCATTAAGTTTGTCATTCTAAACTTTCACATCTTTCACACAATAAGATTTAGCATGTTTTTCAACATGTGATACTTAACTGGATAAAACAAAATGTCACTGAAAGACACAGGGCTGAAAGGACACAAAGAAACAATGCAATGAAATTACTTAATTTCACAGATAATAAATCAGAACTACAAAGCTATTTATTATCATTATTACAAACAAAGTAGTGTTTAAAAACTAGACTCAAATTCATCTGGCACTGAATTCATTGCTCTAATTATAGAATCCAGTCTAAGGACCTGAAGGCATTTCAATATACTGTTTTCAAACTCCCTCTGAAATTCTGCATGCCATTCATGACATCTCAAGTGCTAATAGAACACTGCTCGAATACCTGCAATTTAGGGACTCTCATTCCTATGGTACCCACTGATTTTTTAAGACCTCACATTAAAAAATAAACACTTTACAGAAAGAAACTTATACTTTAGATTTCATGAATTAATCCTGATTCTTTGATGGGGTTAAGGGAAATAAGGAAGGGTAGGGGTGTGGGGAGGAGGGAGGTGAGGGATGTACAGAATTTAATTTTTCTTTCACATGATAGTGCTACAAGTACTGAGAGCATATATAATGTTCCCTCTTTGGGTCTCACATTTCCTTACACTTTCCAGGCCTTCTGTAAACATGTTTCCAGTTCTCTTTGTGGCTTCTAAGGTATGGCATTCAGAGCTGAAGCAAAGCCCGCAGACATGATCGGGTCAGTGTGGCACTGAACTTCATTCCAGATAGGGAATAGTCAACATGTGCAGCTTTAAATCCATCTGGGCAGAACTTCTGTCTGCTGTTTGCTTGCTTGCTTATTTGTTTGTGTAAAGAGAGATGCTCAAAGACTTTCTGATTCTGATTCCCACTGGATTCTGACACACAGCTGCTGTGGAGAACCCCTGCTCTGCGCACTGTCTCTTTTTACCCCAGGGCTACAATTTTAATAGCTACAGAACTCCTTCAACTCATGTCAACTTTACATTTGAAACTTTCACTTGGACTGCTTTGAAGCAAGATCTCCAATTCGTGAATGAGCACATGTGATTTTTAAAATTTAGGTTGGACCTTATATTTATCCTGTTAACTTTCAGCTCTCTCAGTTTTTAACTGCCCAGATATTTGTAATTTCCGGTTATGTTTTCCAATATTTTTACTATTTTCCAGCTCTGCATTTTTTGTGCATTTTACTATTTTCTAGCTCTGCATATTTCCTATATGTTTGTTAAATTTGATAAATACATTGACAAGGTATAGCCCAGAAAAGAATTTTGCAGAAATCCAAAAGACAGTTCTCTTCAGAGTGACATAACCTTTGGTGATGGTTATTCAACAAATTCCTAATCTGTCCTGTGACTAAACACCTGAGACCTTGCCCAATGCCATGCTCAGTTAAAGAGCACTTTACTGCCTTTGACTCAATGCTGCCATTATAATAATTTACCATCAGACATTGATGCTGATAATTCTGAGCATTATTTTATAAGATAAATTTGGCATAGAGTTAAATATCATAGGAAAGTTTTCATATATATAATCAGAAGCCTCCTTCAAAGCATACTTTAAAATAGAGGAAAATTATCACGCTTATGGGATTGAAAGACAAACACTTTGAATCTCAGTATTTCAACACACCTATTATAAGAGAACAAGAGCTATATATATATATTTAAAGCAAGGTTCTAATATACATTCCACTTCTATTGTTACCAAAATATTTTTCTGGGAGCAATTTAAAAAAAAAGAGAGATTCTTACCCAGAAAGCTGGGAACCTTGGTAGGCTGGGAAGTGACAGAATCATTATTCACAGAATCAGGCGGGGACACAGTATTTGTAACATTAAGCGTTGTCAGACTATTCACAGGACTAAACGGTATTGTATTACCCGTAGACTCAGGCAGTACTGTATTATTCACAGCTTGTTCCAACTGAAGATCATTCACTGGAAAAAAAAATACAGCCAATTAAAATACAACATTGTCCTAAGTTCATAATTATACACACAAAGCAAACACAGTGGTTGTGTTAAGAAGAGTAGACATCGGGGTGCCTGCGTGGCTCAGTTGTTAAGTCTCTGTCTTTGGCTCAGGTCCTGGGATCGAGCCCCTCATCAGGCTCCCTGCTCAGTGGGGAGCCTGCTTCTCCCTCTCCTGCTCCCCCTGCTTGTGTTCCCTCTCTCACTGTTTCTCTGTCAAATAAATAAATAAAATCTTTAAAAAAGAAGAAGAAGAGTAGACATCTATGGACACCAAAGTGGCTCAGTCCATTGAGACTTCTGATTTTGGTCCATGATCTCATGGGTCTTGAGATGGAGCCCCCCACTAGGCTCTGCACTCAGTGGGGAGTTGGTTTCAAGATTCTCTCCCTCTGCCCCTCCCCCAGCTCATGCACACATGTATGTATGCACACACAATCTCTCTCAAAGAAAAAAATCTTTAAAAAGGAGTCTTCTAGAAATTTTATTCACATTGCTATGTTAAATTAATGAACAGTAAATCTTTATATTTATACATATTGTTAGTAAGATCATATTTCTGTGAGTAACTTTGTAGTTCTTGGTCAAAAAAAGGTAACAGTTAAAGTTTAAGGCATCCTTTAATAAATTTCATGGTCAGGTAAAACTGATTGATTTTTAGGTGGTAGGTTCCAAAGAACTATTTGTCCTCAAATTGTTGTAAACCTAAGGGATTTCAGCAGCCCTATTCTTATGCTTACATTGTACTAAAATTCTCAGGAAAGAAAATTAAATAATGTAACCTAAAATAAGTCTATGGAAATAAGTTCCCCTCTACATTTCTTAATTTTCTGTTCCTTTTTTAAGTTAACACAGTGACTGATTTTTATCAAACTTAGTGGATGCTACTGTATCTTCATCTGTATGGGTGAAACAAAAATCTAGGTAAACTTGAACATCCTTTAAGTTGCCTTATTTTTTAAAGAATGCCAGTAAATGAAGTAAAATGAGATGGGAAATAAACTTACCTAAACTCTCACAGGTTTGCTTGCATTGATCCAGTGATTCAAAGTTGTTTTGATTGCCAAGGCACCCACCATACTTGAAATCTTCACATTTCTTTGACTCATTGTTATAAAAATACCTAGTTATATAACCTCGACAGACTCCACTGTCTTCCCCCAAAAAGCAGTAATCTGGCTTTTCTGGAAATTATAAAAATGTCAGAAAGCAATATACTTTTTTGTGAATAATTGAATTATGCTGATTAAATATACGAAATAACTAAGCTGAAGTTATTTAAGGAGTAAACATGAAAAGTTAAAGATACAAGGTAAAAACGGAACTTTATCCACAACTGCACAATATTAAAGTTGCCCACTATGTCTGTTGTGACATTTAGAATAAGGAAGATGTATCTATTGTCACAGATTGTTGATACTGGAATTTCAAGTTCTAAATTTCTCATCATAAATTAATAGGGCACCTAACTATCAACTATTTCAGGAATTGAAAGAGTAAAAGATGTTATTTTACCTTTGGTTTGGAAGAAATATTCAAAAATTCATAATATTACAAAATGTTATGGCAAAATTTTGGCTCAGTTATTCTTTTTAGGTGTACATGCATTGACATTTAGGAAAGAAATAGGAATATTTCATATTTTTCAGGTATAGGCTCCCATTAGGGAAAGAAGTGTAATGTGTTGCTTCATTACAATGGTTTCAATTTTAAAAATATTGGAGTAGAAGCTTTGAGGTGTATGGAAGCTTTCATGTCTATTCTTAGAAGTTCCTGAATTCTTATTCTGGAATCTGTATTAGGTTAGGCATGACATCCTCCGCCACTGTGTCTCTTGTTTTTCTTCTTTCTGGCATTGGAGTGACTCCAACAGTGCAAAGGCAGAAAGGAAATACATGTTCAGGGATTGGAGAGGCTTTTGAAAAAAAAATCTAATGCCCTTTCTTTGATAGTGCTCCAAACCAGATTAAACACAGCTGTCACAGAAGTTGGGCCACTGTGATCTACATTACAGGCCTTGTCTACAGGCATCCTCTGTAAAGAAGAGAATTAAACTTATTTTCAAAATTATGATCGCAAGATATATGGGGCTTAAATTGGCGAAAGTTCCAATTTCCCCACTTTCTCCCTGCAACTGTATTATCAGGGTGGCAAAAATGAACTGTAGTATCCTTTTCCATTTTAAAGCAACCTGTTCTATCTCAGGGAAGCATCACTTGGGAGGTTACTATAAAAAAAGCATATATTTAATGGTAATGATTTCTGCAACGGTTGCAAATCTTCGGAAAGGCTGATCTCCTATGAGAGCATTGTTTTATTAATAAAACATCCCATTTTAATGTAGTGTAAAATATCTACTATAACTTCTCAAAGTACCAATTTGAGAGTTTTGTTTATTGTTTATTGCCTCTTGTTTCTCACGGTGAATATTACTATTATCCCCATAGCAACAATTTGTGGTTAAGTGTAATTTATGGGACAAGGAAAAAAACTAATTCTTTAAATTTTTGTAATACTTTTTTATAAGAGAATGAGGAAAAAATTTAATTGCTATTATTTTCATTTGTTTTGGCCTTAGTATGTACTTCTTATGAAATTTTAAATCATCTTAACAGAGAATATAAGAATTCTATGTTTAACAAAAAGGAGTAGGTAAAATATACTGCATATAAAGAATAGAAAATAATAAATTATGCTGAGAAGTATAATTAAGAAATTATGCAACTAGAAGCTGCTATTATTTATGAGGCCCTGTTCTAGGACATAAATTTATTTTAGGGCAAAGTTGAAATTGCACACTTGTAAAGTAATTCCGCTTGGGCCTACAGTTTAAAATAAGGTTACAAATCAAGAAATTCATGCCCTATATTCCTCAGATAAAGTAACATTTGTACTAAATCTGCATACACAATCCTTGCTCTAGACTGATGCTTGGTTAAAACAAGAACACGGATTTTAAGCTACAAACTTCCACAAACCACATTAAGTTTTACTATTAACTGTTATTTGAGGCTGCATACTTGACAATTGTCTTAACCCAAACTATTTCAAAGAGGTTGTCTTTGTAACTGGTCCAATGTTGATACTAAAAAGCATATCACAAAGTTAACTTGAAATGGATACATCCAGAGGTCTTTATTATGAATGGGTTTTGGCATCTGAACATAGTTTAACACATGTGAATAGTATTGATTAGCTTTATTCTCTGATTTCCATATGTAATATCAGTTAAGAATGAAGAGAAGAGGAACTCCTAACTAGGACACTACATTATCTACCTTACTGCTCTCTGACCACCTGCTAAGCCAGGTGACTTTCCAACCTACCTCCCTGACTCTTGACAAATGTATTCATTCAAGTTGCCTCTTGATCTTTGCTCTTCCTTTGACACAGCAAATCCCTCATCCTTGGGTCTCCTACTTACTGTCATATCTCCTATAAATGCTGAAGTTGAACTCTACAGACTGGGGATTCTGGAGGCTTGGTGATCTCACTGAGCAAACAAGGTAATGAACTCAATAGGTTATAATCAAAATTGAGGAGACGTTATTTTGCTCTTGAATACTACCACTATTCTAAGATTAAGAAATCTATAAACCTACACAGAATGGAGAATAATTTTTACTTTGTATCTAAGGAAATGTCATATTTTTTTCTTAATCAAGTTAGCACCAATCTGACAAAACTCATAAAAAATGTAGACTTAGAACTTGTTAAAGGTAAAAGAGCTCTATTTCCCTGAATGTGCTCATTTTATAGTCAAGGAAATAGGACTTCAAATAGAAGTGATTCCTCTAGTTCATAGCAGAGGTTTGCCCCTCTGCATGCCATATTCTTTTTCCTCACACCTAGTAATTTATACTGTGCTTTATAATTTATAAGATTGTTTTTCATACACTGTCAGTTTTTGACTGGAGCCAATTAACTTTGGTAAAAATAAAATATTGCATTTTTGGAAAAATATCAATTAATATGAATTAGAAGAAAAAGAATGATTGAATTCCAAATCATTAAATATACATTAAATAGCATAATTTTATAGTAAATTTTATCTGCATACATTTTTTCCTAATTTCACATTTTTGAAAAAATACCCTAACATTTAAATGTTGGTATTTCCTTTCACAAAGATATCATCTTTTACTTGGTGTATAAAACCCTCTATTGGTAAATATTCTGTATTCTTGGATACTACAGATAATGAATTTCATTTAATTGAAACACTGAACATTTCTGTAAAGATTAATTCAATTTTATAGAAAGCTATTTTAAAATTTGTAAATAAATACATCCACTGATAGTGTTTGTACAATCTTTGCCACTGAATTTATTTTATAAATTTTGATTCAGTCTAGTAAGTCTTATCAGTCACAAAAGCATTCAACTCTTTCTCACACAATTAAATCAAAGTCAGAAAAATTAAAATACACTTTGAATTTTGTAACTCTTTCATTTCCCAAGTTAAATAATTTGATCCCTTTGTTCAGCATTTTCTCATTCAAATGTAGATGATGTAAATGGTAATTGGACCAAGTCAGCTTCTAGACCTTTACTAAAAGGAGTATCTTTCTTGATCTACTGATATATTTTTTCATGTGCTAATGTAACATATTAATCAGAAAATTATTTTTAGCTAAAACCAATAAATAATTTAAATCACAAAATAAAAGCTAAGTACACACACTAATGTTGACAAGAGCAATCACTTAGTGTTAAATATCTCCACTTACTTCTGCATATAGGCTTTGACTACTCAAAGACATATATCAATTCAGGGAAATACTGGATATAACTTACTAAAGATACACAATGCTGAGATTATCAAGGGAATAGAGATCTGAGAACTAACAGCATCTAAATTACTGTTCAACAGATGTTAAGATAGCATGTGCATGGCTGTGGAATTTGACTGATCTAATACTAAATATCATTCTGCATTAGAATGAGAGTAAATATAGTGTTTGAAGACTTCCATACCAAATATCATATATGTTATTTTAAATTTTTCATTATATCCACTGAAATAAAACACCATTTCAAAGATTGTATGGATTTATGATGGAGTCCATATCAAAGAAAACTAAGAATTGAATTTCTAAGTGTCTTGCATAAATTCTAATTAGCATATAAATGAATGTTTACCTTTTTCTAATGTTGTCTCTATCTTGGCCTTTGGATAAACTGCAAGAAAAAACAGTATGTGCATCAATTATCAAAATTTATATAAATAAATTATATATAAATTTCAATTTAACAAACTAGGATGATGTATTTATTATCATTAAAATTATTCTTATACATAATACCAATAAATAGTTTAAATTTATTTTCTCTAAAGATTAAATAATTTTAATTTTTATAGATATGAGGCCATCTGCACTTTAACATAATAATGTCTCAAAACTGGTGTTGAAAGTTTCTAACACATTGACAAAAATAAGAATTCATGGTGAACTACATTTGCTATTCAAAACACCTATGACTGAAAAGCATTAAGATAATGTGAAATATGAAAGTAATTCAAGCAGCATACTTTGCATATCAAAACATAATTTCTATAGAGACTTGGTAGTAGGGGTGGAAGAAACCAGAATTATCTCCTTTCCTGATTCCTTGCCCTGCTGCATTGTTTCAACCCAATCACAAGTTTTATTAGTATTTCCAAGTACAGAAGAGAAATGAAGCAAAAGGTATCTGTGACATATTTTTTGGTTCAACCTCAAAGAATTAATGGAATTTCTCCACTCAAAAACTAGAATGCTACTTGTCTTTCACCCACTATATTCAAGTACAGATGCTAAGTTCTAATTTAAATGATAGGTAATGAAATTCAAATCAATATAATAAGTGAAGTTTTAATTTGCTCATGTAAACATTAGGAAGGCTGAGTGATGTATGTTGTATAATCATGTTCTGCAGAGAAAAGCTGTGGTCAATGCAGTTTATAATTAGTTGTATGGCCAGAGAGACAGGGGGTTGGGGGAATGAGTTGGCTTATATGCCCCTTTCAGCGAAAAATCAGCAGCTAAGTTATTCTTCGGAATATAAAATATCTTTGAAAGAGAAGGTAATGAGGCCTTTTTTTTTTAAAGATTTTCCTATATTTTATTAAATAGTCTTTTTAAAAAGATATATATATTTATATAATTGTATTTTAAATATTAAGAAAACCTCAGGAGTCTTTCTCATTGTAAATAACCAACTGTCAATGTGTTTCAATTAGATAGTGGATTGTCATAATAAGCTTATATTGAAATATTTTAATGTACAATTAATTTGTTACAGTTTTAATTTATAAGGGCAAAGAAAATATATACAGATAAATATTACATCAGACTAGAGTGCTAAATAATCATTTTTACTGTTTTGCCTACTGACAGTAGCCATTGGATGGGAACATAGAAATGCTTGATTTCAATGTTCATGCAATATTAAAAGAGATAACTTGTTTTCTGATTCCTTTCCAAATTGGATTAATTTAGCTGGCATGCATGTGAACTAACTCAAATATGTGTTTTGGCACACTGGAATTTAAATGTATTTGTAATAACAATGATTATCTTTGAGGATTCTGAAAATAACATGGACACCCTATTTAATTGGTATTTATGCCAACTAATTACAGTCTGAAAAAATAAGTAAGTTTTACAGCAAATTATCCAAATTATCTTTTCCTAGATTTATTTAAAACATAACATTTATTAATGATGTCTTCAGGAGTAATGAGAGTATGTTTCACTAATTCCCATTTTAGTAATTTCTTGAAACCCAACATATATGAATTCACATTTTAAATATTTTATGATGAATATTATAATGTAATTAATATACAACAAATTAATTTGTAATTTTATGACACATTTTAGTAATTGTAATTTTACCCTTATTCTTTCTTTATCTTTTTCTCTTATATTGGAGAGCAGAGGGTAAGAGTTTAAGACTAACTTTTAATGATTCTGATTTGTTGAAGTCAGCCTAGAAAATATTCTAAGCAGGTGGGAAAATGACTGTATGGGCAGAATATTCTCATTACTAAATGGGTCTTCACGGTTCCAAAAAAATAAAACATGAAATGACAAATTTAAAAAATAAAGAGAATGGAAAAAGCATTAACATGCTCTTTAATTCTCTATGAGGAAAATTCTCAAATCCCCATGAAAAGCCACAAGTCACAAGTAGCCCAACCAATAAAATAGCAATTAATATAAACAGCATACTTTCTAGAACCTTTATACCTGTTTCAGGATTTGATGAAATTCTATGAAATTAATTGTACTACTTTTAACCATGCTGTAGAGGCTGATTGCTAGAAAGCTGAATGAGAATTTGATAATTTGATCTCTTTAGTCTAATTCTTTAATTTCCCACACTACATTACCATCTATTTTTCAAAAAATAACAATCAAAGATAATGTTGTTTAGGCTATAGGAAAAAAGCAACTAACCCAAAAGACAAACATTTTGAAAGACATGTATTTGAAGCCATTTTACAAACTTAACTTCTATTTTTTTAAAAAAATTATTAACCTTATTTCCATGTCTCTATTATTACATAGGTAAATACACCAAAAAATATACATATTTGGAAAAAATTAATAAAACAACTTTATGTGCAAAAGGAGAGCTGTGCCTACATAGCAAACTAAACACATTCATAGTTCCTATTCTCTGAAATATTTGGCTTGCTTTTATTCTCAAGCATGGTAGTTTACAAGATTGAGTTCTCACTGGTCTTCCCAAATAATACAAAACTTCAGCTTTCAAGCCTTAATATATAAGATATCAATCATATTTTGATTTTATGTCTCCTATGCTTATACCATCTCCCCTTTACCTAGGAAAAGCACTTAAGAAGTGATATGAATTTTGGGGGTGCCTGGGTGACTTAGTCAGTTAAATATCCAACTCTTGATTTCAGCTAGGGTCATGATCTCAGGGTCCGGAGATGGAGCCCCTTGTCCTGCTGGGCAGGGAGCCTGCTTGAGATTCTCTCTCCCTCCCCCTCTGCCCCTCCTCTCCCCCTCAGTCACACACACTCTCTCCCTAAAAAAAAAAAAAAAAAAAAAAAAAGCTGATACGAATTTCTATAATGAAACATTTAGTAAAATTCTGTCAACAGAATATTAACTAATTAACACATATTAAACAAAAAACAACCAAAAATTTTTCAAAATAATTACATTGATCTTGGCTGACTGTAAAATAATTAGGTTCTCAGCATAAATAGGGCCACTGATTTCACTGGCTGCTTCCATAATATTCATACCTTATCATGGTAACTAAGCAGCATGTTTTAGACATGTGTAAAAATTTAAACTGCTATGAACATAATGAAAAAATATGTAATTTAGCAGATAGAGATATTAACAGGCATGGCAGGATAAAATGACATTTGATGTCATCATTTTCTAAAGTTTCTAAGTGCTTTCAAGCCTACAGTCACATTATTTACTTGAAAGGATCTTTCCCTTGAACAAGAAATATAAATATTAGTATACATAACATTAATGATTTTGGTCTATGTGATTATCACATCCTCAATGTGCACAGTAAGAAACTGAGCTTCAGAAAGTAACAACATTCAGGATTGAAACAAAACAAGCTTTTATCCCATTTATTTTTATTAAACTGTTGTTCTATTCATAACATAATGTGTCCATCTTCATAGAACATCAGTTAACTCTGATGGTGTAGTCTATTTTTGACTATTCTATTCCACTAATTTCTGTCTGTCCTTATTCTCACATTATTCTGCTCAATTTCGGCAGCTGTGCTATAAATCTTGAAATCGGGTAAAGTCTGGGGCACCTGTGTGGCTCAGGCTATTAGCATCTGACTCTTGGTTTCGGTTCAGGTTATGATCTCAGGGGTGTGCAACTGAGGCCCACATTGGCTCTGAGCTCAGCTCAGAGTCTGCTTGAGGTTCTTTCTCTCTACCCCACCTCCCCCCAACCCCTCCCTCTCCCTGCTCACTCACATGTGTGCATGTGCTCTCTCTCTCTTTCTAAAATAAAAAAAATATTTTTTTAAAAAAAGGAAATCAGATAAAGTCCTCCAAATTTGCTCTTTTATTCAGAATTGTTTTAGTCATCCTAGGTCCTTTGTATTGCATATCATTTTTAGAGTTGACTAATTAATATATAAACAAAAATGTGCTAGAATTTGATTGGTATAGAATAAAATTTCCAGATCCATTTGGGGAGAATTTACATCTCAACTAAAGTGAATCTTTCAATCTATTGTTTTATATCTCTGTTCATTAAAGTCTTCTTTATTTGCCAATGAATTTTTAACAATGTTTTATGGATTTCATTGTAAATGTTATGCACTTTTTTATTTAAATCCATCACTAAGAATTTCATGTTCCATTATTTTAAATGAAATTGTCTTTTTAAGAATTTTGTCTAATTTTCTATTTGTTCATAGCCAGCATGTGTGTAAATATTTACATTGTCCTTTTATCCAGTGAGATTTCTAGTCATCTGCAAGTTCCTAAAATTTTTCATATATATAATTGGGTTTTCTCTCAGTCATGTGGATGCTCTCGGAGATGTTCCATTTACAAATCCCCATAATTATTTTCGCTAACTTATGGAATTTCACCAAATGCATGCAGTTTTGTTGTTCAGTGACAAACTCAAAGGGACTCTTGTTCTGACTTTTTAGCTTTTTCTCTACATATGTCCATTCTCTCCCACATATTATGCCCCAAAACCCATTGATCTCAGTCTCCTTACCTCCAATTTCCATATTCTCTACCAGGGAGACCACCATCTTGTGCTTGGGTTCCCCTCCTTTGGCTATGGTTCAGAAGTGCCTTCAGGCAGAAAGCTGGGGAGACTGGACTCACCTCACATGTTTCCCTTCTCTAAGGGATCACAATCCTGCACTGCCTTTTGATCCATGTCTGCCAACAGTTGCTTCATATATTTTGTCTAATTTTCTAATCATTTATATTATGAGAGAAAGTTCTGTTTCAGCGCTTCCATCATAGCTGAAGATGGAATTTTCTCTTTAGGTGATTTTTTAAAAGCCTAGCAATCCTTTTTCTATATGCTAGTTGTATCCTTAACAGTAATTTACTATACACAACACTCATATATTCAAACAATAAGTGGCTCTTGAAGATGTAATAAGGAAATGGAAGCCAAAGACTCATATTTATATGCTAGGTAGTAATGATGTTTAGAAGATACTATAAGCAAGGAGGTCACTGAAGAACCAAATAATTATATTTGATTAATTTCTAAAGAAAAGGGTAACTTTTATATGATGGTGAAATAAAAGAAACAGGTATGTATTGTGGGAAAGAGGCCCGCTAATGAAAATGTTAGGCTGCTAAAGAAGAAAGTGAGAATTACAAAGAATGAGGCAACCAGGCCTCTAGCCAAGGTGCTGAACGTGAGTGCTATTCAACTCAACACAAAAGGATACTTGGCCCAGTATGGATGAGAAGGAGGTATAATGAATGGAAAATGACCAGGCAATCACCAAAACCAAAACCTCCCACCAGAGGACCACTGAACTGCTTAATCTGTGTTAGTAACATTTCCAGCACTTGTATGGAGAAGAAAGAAGGAAATAAGTGCTCAAGGTCAAAGAAATATATTCACATCAATCCTTTTCTGTCAGCTCTGGAATATACAAAAAAAGCACCTCACAGAGTCACACAGGGGAGAAGTTCTCTCTTTTCACCACAGTGAGATTTTCCGACAGGCCAAGAGCATCATGATGCCAAGGCTATTTTGCAAAAGTTGTTTGGGAAAGCATTATCAAAGTGAGAATGCAGAGCTGTCTGTTTTGCAAAAAGCAAGACACCTAGTGTTACTAACTAAAAATACCATCTCTATAGGCTACCATTTAATTCAACTAGCTCTAATAACATGCCATGGGGAAATGTGGGACTAGACACTGGGAAGATAAAGACAATTCAGATTCTTCTATCCCTTAAGTAGCTCACAATTCAGAAGAATTAAACAGACAAAAGCATTCAAAATTTTGACCAGCAATTATCTGGAATTTATCTCAGTGAGACGAGATAAAACCACATTATAGTTTGTAAAATTCAGGGGAAAATGTTGTGTTAGGAGGATTAAAGCAAAATAAAAGTGTCCCATAAAGCTTACCAACAATATAATATGATATACTTTTAACCATTATAAATTAGTAAAAATTAGTAAAAATATGAAAAGTTGGGCTCAGCAAAGTCTACATGGCTCAGTAAGGTTCATATTTTCTTTTCTTCAATATTCCAAAGCCCTAAAGAGAATGACTTAATTTTCATATATATGTTTCTACTCTCTGATGCAGTTTAGAATTTTCTAATTAGTAGCTACGAGAGCCTCAAAGTGGATTCTCAGATTCATTACTTTGACAGGAGATAAGATCACCACACTGATAAAGGGAAGACTAAGTCAATATGACTAACCGTTTCTTTCCTGCCAACTCATAGCTGCCCAGGAGGCTGAATTATACCCAATTCACCGCAGATATAAAGTCAGTGAACTTAAAGGTTTTTCTTCTTTCTTTATTATGGAGAAAAATATAGGATAACAAATGGGGCTTAATATAATTTATAATAACTGATGAAAAATGAAAAATAGTAGTTGAACATGAATGCCAAAAATGTGAAAAAAATATTCCTTGGAATGTTCAAATAGTTCTAACTTCTTTTCCTAAAATTATCAAATCTATAATTAGATCTAATAACCCTAAACTTTTTTTAAAAGTTAAAGGAGCTTAAGGCTCCTGGGTGATTAGTGTCTCCAGAAACCTACCTCTCATACATTTTTCTTCGCACTCTTCCAGACTTCCAAATCGATTCTGATTTCCTTCACATCCCCCATACATAAATTCTTCACACTGTTGAGTGTGAATGTTGAAAAAAAATTGTGTAATCATTGCTCTGCATGGGCCATTATCCGCTTTCAAAGCACAAAATGAATGTAAAAGTTTCAGTGGTGGCAACTCAACATCTACAAGGTAAAAATAAAAGATATAGAACCTTTCATACACAGTAATAGTTTATTTCCTTTTCAGTATGTCCTAATTTTTCTTAAAAAGCACAACAGAAATAACACAGGCTGAAGAAACCATGACAAGTTATTAAAAATTATCAAAAAGTTAAAGTTTATAAACACACCAAATGAAACAGATTTTATCAACAATTAAACTTTAGGAGTAGAATAATTTTCTAGACTCATATTAGGGATTTGGTTTAAACATACACCAGTTGACCAGTATGGAAATGCATAGTCGTTGTAAGGTAACCAATGTGTTGACGTTACGAGTAAGTAAAGACATCTTTTTAAATTCAGGTTTTGGGGCGCCTAGGTGGCTCAGTCGCTGAGCGTCTGCCTTTGACTCAGGTCACGGTCCCGGGGTCCTGGGATCGAGCCCCGCATCGGGCTTCCTGCTCGACGGGAAGCCTGCTTCTCCCTCTCCCATCCCCCTGCTTGTGTTCCCTCTCTCGCTGTGTCTCTCTCTGTCAAATAAATAAATAAAAATCTTAATAAATTCAGCAGTTTTTAAGGGCAGACATTAATGGACAGCTCTTTGATTTGCTCTCCCTAATCCACAGTTATGTCATTTTTACACATAAACAACTTTTTAAAAGCAGCAGTACACACATATTCATATGTATGTTTTTGTGTGTGTATATATATATATATGTGTATATATATATATATATACACATCACACTATATTAAGCCATTCCCAAATTATGGAAATGTTGGTGTTTGGTATTACATATATATCATGGTCCATTCTTTTACTTACCATGGTTTGTTTTTAACAATGTTGAGAAAACTTAATGCTGTCTGTATTTTAAAATAGAATGAGGCAATTCTTTTGATCTTGAGTGAGAATTTTTTTCCCTCAATATCCAATCACTTATTTTAGTCACAGAGGAATTTCATATCTTGGGAAGGGACTTGTATATACAGAAAACTCAAAAATTTTAAATTTTATGAAGTCTAATATTACTAGAGGCTTAATTTTAAGTAAGTTGCATTTGTTTATAGAATCTATCAGTAAGATAGACACTGAAAATTGTGGTTGGTACTATCAAAATAACAAGGAACAAATAATGTCATTAATACTCCTTGAGTATTGTCTATAATATCTTTTCCAAGACTTTCAGTATTCACTATGATCACTTCTGAGGGACCTAAGCCAATTTGCCCTTTAGAGGGCAGCAATATGCTGCTAAATTAAAACTGATTAAGTCTAGGTATCTTCCAAGAAAGGGTTTTAATGCACTATAAAATAATGTACTTTGAAAAAAAGATGGATGGATGTCATCATTTAAAAATATATAAAACCTTTTAAAAGCATTAAGTAAAAGAACAAGTGTGAATATATAACCATCGAGAAGGAAATCAATTTTGAATGTTCCATGGTTTCAAAACTTCTGTGAATTTTTTGAAAGAAAAGATATACATATCATAAAAGTTGGATTAGATAATTTTATCAAATCTCTTCTACCCTCCAGCTTTTGTTACCTTAATGATCTATATCGAATTAATGTCAAGTAGTAGCCACATTTCAGTAGTGTTAAAACTCTTTATGATAAAATAATTGGAATGTTATTTTTTATTTTCTATATGGGTCTAAAAAGATAAGTAAGTCCTGAAATCTTAGAAGGGTAAAAATATAGCTTTCTATACATAAATTATTATTATGCTGTTTCATTCATTTGACAGTAATTATTTATGAACGTATGAATTTTATCTCAACCACTCTTCCACTTTTAAACTTAAAATCAAAGTTTAATTTATAAAATGCCATATCACCATTTTGATTTCTTTGATAACTGAATTGACAATTTTTTCAATTGAAATAAGTTGAGCTTACAGAAATGATATAACAGTAAAATTTCAGACCCAAATTTGATAAGATAGAATAACATAAAACAGAGATTTGTTTATTATGACAAACAGGCCTTCATCTACAAAAGACATGGATATTTTTAGCACCAAACACAATTTTCATGAATTGGCTAATTAGCAAGTTAGCTAATTATTACTGGTCAAACCTTTAATGTTGAATTTTATGCACCTGCGCACTTGCTGTTTTCAGCTTCCTGTGGGGTTATGTACAATCAAAAAAATATAATTTGGATGTTTATCTATGTGATTTTTTAAAATAATTTTTACACCAATTATATAGTGTCCCTAAAGCCAATCAATCTCTATAATATATATGTAAATAGTTTACCAAAATGAGTAAATAATTATTCATTGACATATATAAAATTTTCTCATTTCTTTGCTTTTTAATTATGTACCTAATATTTTATGCTGATGAACTTATTTGAATATGATTGGCTTTAAAATGTCTCTCAAGGCATATCAAAAGTTTCTGGCATCTAATAATATGGATACTTCAGAATTATAATTTTCCTTAAATGTTCTTGGACTTCCCTGAAATTCTTAATTTTCTTAAATTATATACACAAGTACTTTTCTCTATGTAAATTCATTATATATATTATATATATTATAGCACTTACATATACATTACATATAAAATAGCATTTTAGAGAGTTGGTAAAAATATCTTCCATAGATAAATAGGTGCATATAAACAAAAAAGTGATTTATGAAAAAACATGTGTTTTCCATTCATCACTGAAATTACAATTGTCAGTTTGAAATAAAAAATAACTAAAAACCTTTTCTGTGTAGTAGTACACTTGTGAATAATGATAAATGCTGCTTATATTCTCTTTCTTAAAGATTTAGAATACTCTCACTGACACTCTGACTTGTTAAGAGTTGTGAGAAGCTAGAAGACTTTGCACTTAAGACCCTAAGCAGTGCATTTTACTGAGAACAGACCCACGACAAGCATCATTGCATTAGCACGATATGTTTGTACACTCTAGACACATTTTTATGCGACCGAAAAAAATTTGACCTGTCAGTTCTATAAGTATCTGATCTTAGAATCAGATCTCAGAATCTCAGAAGTTACATACATAATTTTGAGATATGAGCTAGGAATAATAATAGTCTGATATTCTGAATCTTATGGCTATATACCATTACTTCAGAAATTCCTATAGCACTCAGATAATATGATGGTCCCTGATTCCCATATTAATGTGACTTCAGATCTTTATAGACACAGTACCTCAGAGAGGAGCCTGTAGTCTAATTCTCTACCTGTAGAGCCCAGGGGGCTTTACCTAATACCTGAGTTGCTATAGATATTTAGGAGAACTAGTTCTTATAAATGGTAATTTACATAAAGTTCTTTTTCATTGATGATGCCTCTGATTTCGACTTTTGATATATTTGATAGTCCTTTTCATCATGCCAAACTTTTACATTTTCTCCATTAAGCATATACCACACCGAGTTCAACTTGCTATTTAAGAATTGTGCCACAAGGTGGTGGCCATCAGCCACAGAAATGAAACCTGGTTCCCCATATTTGTCCTTGTAGTAGTTAATACTAGCTCATGTTGTTTACTAATTACTGTGCTCCAGACTTTTTGTAATTATATTATTTAGTAATCACAACAATCTTCTGAATGAGGTATTCTCTCCATTTGCAAATTATAAAACAGCACTGTAGAAATTAATTGCTCTGTTCAAACCTGAAGTTTTATACGCCACATAGTTTTATACCAGATATCTCACACAATCTTAATAATTGAGTGATATTGTCACAGTCTGTATGACTGAGATTCCTAGATTGGCATTTAGGTAAAGCACATAGATTTAATTCTAAAATTTACACTCAATACATTTTTTTCTCAAATTCACCTTATAAAAACTAAAAATGTTTCAGCTATGAAAGTAGGTGATTTTATAGCAGCTTCCCAAGTGAAACACTAAGAACTAATTTTAAACTATATTTTATTAATTTATTATCAAATTATTCATCTTTACCGTTCACATTTTAGTGTCTTTCTTAGCTGAATCACATATTAGAATATTCTTTCATGCAGTCAGCTTATGACCCACCCTTGGCAGAGCGTCCCTGAAGTGGAGGAGTGATGAGATGTGGTCTCTCAGATGTAGTACCATGCCACTCCACCCAGAAGGGATGGGAGTCTGTCTTGGTTTTCATTTTTTACCTTGGATAAATCTTTTTGAATGTGAACAATTGTGTGTTGATCATGGGTCAGGCACTGTGGGGTCATGGCAGATATGATAGTAAATTAGGTGGCAGTAGCCCTGTGCTTTCCCTTTCATGCAGCATGCAGACACCGAAGACTTATAAACATTCAAGTTCAAGGTGCTGTGTTTGTGCATAATAAGATAGCTAAGCTTGTCTGGAGAGTCAGGGATAGCTTTCCTGAGACTTGAAACGGAGACTGAAGGATCTACCTAACCCCATGTAACTAGAAAACATATACAGGACAATGTAAGAGGGAATTTAATCTGATGCAGCCAGATGAACAGAATTATGGTTTTTATTGTATCATTTTTGTAATTGCTTTCTTGCATTTTATGTCTCACAATCTGAGCATTACAATCTCACTCTCCCGTCCCCCCGTCCTGGGACGTTGGATAGTAGGCTCATGATAATATATGGGGACGTGTCATGTCCCCGACTGTTAGAGTCCTCATTCTCCTGGAACTTGTTTGGGAACCAAGAACTTTAAACTTACTATTTAAGAGCTACATGCTGTTTGATTCTCTCATGAAAAGATTTGATTTCTCTGGCAGGGAAGAACATAGCCATACACTCTTTGCCTTCTCCGCGCTGGAAAATGTGCCAGGTGCTTTTATGCAGTTTATATAACAACCATATGAACGTAGTTATTTGCATCACTTACATATCGATTAAGAAACTGGGAATCAGAGGATTTACATAACTCATCTAATTTTGCAAAACTACTGTGTGGCAAACCCCACACGCAAACTTAGATCTGCCTGATTCTAAATCTTACGAAAGACACATGCCTTTCTCTAAATGCTCCCTGCTAATCTCTCTATCATTCTAAAGGGATTTTAAAAAAGAGCTTATCACTACTGTTTTTTATTATCAAAAATTTTATTATATTTCATTCTCCCTGCTGGTTAGACTGATTAAGAAAAAGCCTACTATTGCCTTGTGAGAAAAATGATAAAATCGTGTATGTTTTTCTCTAAGATGATAGTACACCATTCGATGAAATGGTATACTTCTATAAAAAGATGGCATGACCTTGGCACAGTGTGATAAATGGTATCTTCAAAACTGAATTGATTCTGATGTGGGATCATGCTATTTTAAGATTGAAAACAAAACAAAACCAAAAAACTCCAAAACTGGCTAAGACTGTGCAGCCAGTCAGTTAGGTGATCTTCAAGTCTAGCTTTCAGATAAAAATGTTTTCTTAGCCGGCTTTGTTTGTTCTGAATTTATCGAGAGATTTTCAACTCCAGCTTAATTATTAATGGGTTAACTCTGGTTTCTTGGCTGACTGTATCAGCAGCAACAATGTCAGGAAACTTCTAATTACCTGACATGCATTTTCTCAGCCTAAATGAGGGACATCAGATTAGGTGAATATTGGGGAACCTTTCTCCTCCCACTTTCCAAGATGGGTTGCCTGCTTTTTCTCTGTAGGGACTTTACTCTCTACATTTCTTCTCTTCTCAGCTTCCAGAATATTAGAAACCATCTCTTTTGATAAATGAGAAAATGAAGAATTAGAGCTTATTTCATAATGCCCAAATTCTCATTCGCACATTATAGTATTTACTTTATTAGTGTTTCATCTTTAGGAAGTTTTTATAACAATAGTTTTTCCAGCGACAATTTAATAGTCTCACCTGTGAAACTGTGAGATTCTTCAGAACTTGGTCTGAGTCATCACTACTTCCCTAGTACCTACCAATTTCAAGCACGTAAGATATATTTATTCAATCTTTATCGAAGGGAAGTACATTGAACAAAATCCCTTTCAAGGGTGCTTAGATATATGAAATAAGAATGTATTTATGGAAGTCTTTGGTACACTATCAACATACATACCAATAGAAGCTATCACTTTGTTCATATTGTCTCACTATTACCAATGACTTGAGATTTCTATCAATAATTTACTAATTTTCCACAAAATATTACTTTTAAGAAAGAAATACATAGTGACAATCACTGTACAATCTTCTCCTTGTTCTGTTGCTGATTGTTAATATTTTATTTTGAGATATGGAGCTTTATGAGATTAGAACTAACCTGTATTAAGCCAGATCTCCTAATGTCCTGTTTTACAAGATTCTCACACTGGACTCATACGGGAAGTTCTTGAGAATAAGGCAAAAAAGGAGAGAATACTATAGTTTCCTTTCCCTTCTCATACTTTTCCCAGCCAAAGGATGGCATCAAGGTTCATGGCTGTTTCTACAACACTTTGTTCCTTGCAATTGTCCAGAGATACCTCATTGTTTAACCTTATAGCCTGGAAAAAAAAGAAGTCTTCCTTTCTAAAGTGACTTTTTTTTGGTCTAAATTTTTTTGGGGGGGGGGGACAAATTACATGTAAGACATGTAAGTCGCTTCTGTAAAAGCTAATTTTCCCATGCAATGGAGAAAAATACATTACATTTTGGGATTAAAATTGAGATCTTTAGCCAAAAAATATGAATGCTTCTAATATTTTACCTGTAATATCTGTATATTCTTCCACTTCAAGGACAGCACTAAGAAGGGCAGAGGCACAATTAAGCAGAAGATACACAGACACCCAAAAAATCTGTTCTTTCTTCATTGTATAAACCATCTCTGAAATACAAACCCAGATACATTTAATCAAGAGTTAATGTCAAATTATCTATAGACTAGCAGGAATCTTATGCACACCTCCAAATGTAAATTTCTATGACAATCTGTACTGCCTGCAAATTCCATGAGTCCTATTTAAAACATGTGCATGTAGCATTTAATATTGTAGACACACATATGTTCAGTGCATATGTCTAATAATATTCAAGTATGCAGCTCATGTTTCAACCTTGAAAATACAAATTAAAATGGCAACAATTGATCATCATGCCTAAGTATGTATTAAGATCCATTTTCATATACAATTCTATTTGCCACATCTTTCCCACAGCTATTCTTCTTTCTCAGTCAGAATTTTATTTTAATATTCCTGGCATTTTTCTATTATTTCATTAATGCAACTTTCCATTCCTGATTTCTCTTTCCCATGGCTTGAGTCCTTCTTTTCAAAAAGAAAGACATTTTCCAAATTTTTGTCTTTGTTTCCTGTAAAATATGTTTTGTTTGTATAACCAATTTCTTAACCAGATTTTCTATGAGATAGCAGACAGAAGTGCTGAGAAAAGAAGTCTTCAGCATTCTAGCAAGTCCTTTACCCCAGTCTTCCACCCTCAATTTAGGCAGGTATCTGATTCAAAAGAGTTTCACAGAAAAGTGACTTTAAGTGATAAACCGACATATTTACACTCTAAAGGAAACAGATTTCAGCAGGAGAGTGAGACTTCCTCTTTCAAAATGATTTAGAGATCCACAGTAAAAAATAATGGAAAAACCACACTGAAATTTTTTTAAGGCTCTTTCTACTTTGGATTCAAGGGTGGGTGTTCATATAGCATAAGAAGAGAAAAAGAAGGAACGTACGCACATGTTCAGCCACTGATGTTATAAGTCAGGAAGGAAAGAGGAATCTTATCAATAAGGATTCACAAATGCAAGAAGAGATATTCCATCTAAAATAATTTAGAGAATTCTCTGTTTACTCCTATAATGAATCATAGCTGCCATATACACCATTAAGGTATATGTAGTTTTATAATAAATAATAAAGTAATGCCATTTTGCTTTAAGCTTCATTAAAATCACTAGTGAAATGTACAACCTATTTTTTCACAACCCTTTGTAAATGTTAACATGTATTTGATTTTTCTGTCAGTAGCCATGTTATATGCCTCTGTGTCATATCATAAACTATTTGAATCTACAAGTATATATGTATATATATGAATGCATATATATGCATATATATATATGTATATAGTTTTGAAGAGTCGATCAGCTAAACTTCTAGTCTTTATCTTATTTTTGAAAATGTAGTTTTTGGGGTGCCTGGGTGGCTCAGTCAGTTAAGTGTCTGCCTTTGGCTTGGGCCCTGATGTCCTGGGATCGAGCTGAGCGTCGGGCTCCCTGCTCAGCGGGGAGTCTGCTTCTTCCTCTACCTCTGTCCCTCTCTCTGCTCCTGCTCTCTCTCTCTTTCAAATAAATAAATGAAATCTTTAAAAAAAGAAAATGTATTTTTCGGGGCGCCTGGGTGGCTCAGTCATTAAGTGTCTGCCTTCGGGTCAGGTCATGATCCCAGGGTCCTGGGATAGAGCCCCGCATCAGGTACCCTGCTCCACGGGAAGCCTGCTTCCTCTCCCATTCCCCCTGCTTGTGTTCCCTCTCTCACTGTGTCTCTGTCTGTCAAATAAATAAATAAAATCTTAAAAAAAAAAAGAAAATGTATTTTTCAAGGACTCTTCTATTTCCATTAGTTTCTTTGAGATATATGGCCCTGTTATATTTTGAGTGCAAAATATAGCTTATTTTTCTATCCCATCATTTAGGGAACAGACTGAAATTGGGTGCCTAAAGACCTTGATAAGAATTTGGGCTGTAAACCCACCAAGTTACTTTCTTTAAAACTATTGGCCTATAGTGTTGCCTAATTTTAGTAGTTTAGACTTTCCTTGGTTGCAAGGATCAGAAGCCAGCTCAGACAGTTTGCTTATTCATTCTAGAGAAGGTGGAACAAGCTAGGATTAGAAAGGGAGGTTTGTGGTTGGATCTGAGCGTCAGGGAGCTGAATGCCCTTAGAAGTCTCTTGTAGCTATTGCACTCCTTAACAAGCGTTAATCTCCTTCAGTGCAGCCCAGCTTTCCCTATGTAGGAGGATGCGTAGCACTGATATTTCCAGGGTTTTAAAACTTAAAAGATCCTTCCATCAAAACAGTATGACTGCTTCTCTTTATGGACTAGTGTCAAATAGCTTGAGAATAGCACTGATGGTTTCAATTTGTAGGAAATACCCCCTTCACTTTTGGACCAATACATTTGAGGTGAAAATCTGTTCGGAGACTAGCATAGATCTGGAGGAGCTGAAATGGACTTTCTTAAGGTTGGAGAATGGGATAATGTGGTAACATTGCAAATTTCTACGTAAGTATATGGTCTTAGGATGGAGTGGACAAGTGTGGCTCCCAGGAGGAGTGGATTATTGCTTCCAGAAAAAGGAAGGGTGTTGGGCAGATAAAATGAAGAGTATGCACTGTAGCAAGCCAGAGCTAATTAATGGCTGATCCAGAACTTGAATTCAAGTTAGAATAACCTCCCAGAGTGAAAGATTGATTTTGGCACATCACTGAGAAAACAGTACAACTTCTTATGATACTGATAAAACTGTAATCTGTAAAGATCAATTAGAGTGAACTGACTTAATTACAGATCATTGTAATTAGTTTCCTTTTTAAAATATCCAAATGCATCACTGAGTTACACTGCAAAATGGCAAACAAGACAACAAACCCAAACTGAAGCTACGCATTGGTTAACTCACTCTGCCTTTCTGCACTCTATTTCTTGAATAGCTGACTGCATTAAAAATATCTACTACCCTACCTGGTATCATATAGAAAAATTGATTCAAAGAAATTCAAAGATCTGAATGTGAAAGATAAAACATTAAATCTTGTAAAAGAAACATTAGGAGAATATGTTCATGATGAGGTTGGCAAAGTTTCTGAATCAGGATACAGACAGCACCAATTATAAAGTAAAATACTGTTAATTTGATTTCATTAAAATCAACTCCTGCTCATCAAGATAAGCACCATTAAGACATTGAAAAGGCAAGTTGTGAGAAAGTGTTTGAAACTCATGTATCTGAAGATTACACATTGAAAATGTATGAGGAATTACAAATAAATATCCAACTAAAATGGGTTAAATATTGACCGGGCACTTTTCGGAAGATTATAGGCAAATGGCAAATAAGCATATTTAAAAGATAGTCAACATAATTAGTCATCATAAAAATTAAAATTAACACCATTGTGAGATAGTATGACAAAATTTAATAAAAACTGACAATATAAAGTGTTGATGACTTGAACCTTCACCATTGTTGGGATTATGCTATCTGAATTATTTGTGTTCCCCAAATTCTTATATAGAATCCTAACTCCCAAAAGTGATGGTATTAGGAGGTAGGGTCTTTCAGAGATGATTAGGTCTTAGAGTATAAGATTCATGTTCTTATAAAAGAGACCCCACAAAGATCCCTCATCCGTTCCACCGTGTAAGGACTCAGCGAGAAAGTGCGAGCTATGAACAAGGAAGAGGGCCCTCACTCTTGCTAATCCCTTTTAATTTCCAATTCAATATCAGAATTTATTTAAGCAAGAATATATTATATAAATGTGCCAGTGACTAGTTGTGTGTAATAATATGTTAGACAGTAAGAGAGATTAAGAAATCTAGAGGAAGCCTTGACCCTTAAGAATTTATATGTAACCAACTGAGTTAAATAAAAATGCAATGTTAAATACCTAGATAAATTGTATGGGTATATTTGTATATGCCAGGCACATAGTAGTGGAAAATAAACATATGTTAAGTTATTTAACTTGGATAAAAATAGAATTTATATTTTGGGACAACAAACTAAAAATCCTAAACTTAGCTCTGCCAGCAACCTGTTAAGTAACTTTTGGAAATTTATATTTTTATTTTTTTAAAGATTTTATTTATTTATTTGACAGAGAGTGAGAGAGCACAAGCAGGGGGGGAGGCAGAGGGGAAGGAGAAGCAGGCTCCCAGGGAGCCTGATGCGATGCGGGGCTTGATCCCAGGACCCTGAGATCATGACCTGAGCCAAACACACTTAACCAACTGAGCCACCCAGGCGCCCCTATATTTTTAGACCAATTTATAAAACACATGACTTTGACACATTGTTGTTAAGTTCCATTCCAGTTCTAAAAATTTATGAATTTTGATTAACACATTTTATATACTCCACAGAATAATTTACAGTTATGTTGTTTAACTTACATTTTCCATTCACTCTAATGCTAAGCTGCAGTGTTAATTTTATCCTTAGGTCAAGATGTGTTCTCAGAATATAAGTTCAGCAAGTTGTTATTAGCTGCTACATTAAAAAAAAAAAAGTGTCCATAGGCTAATATATATTTATGTCTGAATTAAAAACCTTATATGAGTTTCTCAACTGTAGGATGTTTATAGGAGCCTTATTATGGTAATGTGCAGTTGTATCTTCTATGGGAGAAGAGAGTAAATGCATTTCCAAACTTATATGACAAGGGGCTATTTTCCCATAAAATATTTTTGGAAAATACCTTGACAAATAATGTTACATTTAAGGAAAAGTCAGTAAATATTCTGAACTAGAGAAATATTAAAAAGCACGACGTGATCTGTGCTTTAATAAAATCCAGCATGTATGGCAAGATGTAGAGAGGGCAAAATTTAAGTGGAATTGGCAGCTACAGTGTTGCAGAGGATCAGATTGAAATTATGAGCAGGGAACTATCAGTGGAACTACAGAGAAAAGGGCAGGTTTGATAGACTTTTTGAGTTAAGTATTGATAAAATTGAGTAATTGAGTAAATACAGGATATAAAGAACAGAGAATTCAAGTATATCCTGAGTGAATTATTGTGTTAGTCATACAAATAGGTAAATTAATATAAGTATTAATTGATGTGCATATTAGGGAGGAATTC